TTTTGATGTCATATCTAAGACAACACTGCCTCATCCAAGGTCAAGTGGTTTACTCCTATCTTTTCTCCTAAGAGTTTATATCTCTTACATATAGGTCTGTGATCCATTTTGAGTTACTTTTTTGTATATGGTGTGAGGTGCAGGAGTCTGGCATACAAAAGAATGCGTTTGCATGTGGATATCCAGTTGCCCCAGCACCATTTGTTGAAAAGACTACCCTTTCCTCATTAAATTATCTCAGCACCCTGTTGAAAATCAATTGACCATAAATGTGAGTGTTTATTTCTAGACTCTCAGTTCTGTCCCATTGATCTGTATGTTTATCCTTATGTCAATACGTCATTGTCTTTATTACTGTGACTTTCTAATAAGTTTTTAAATTGGGAAGTGTTGCATGTTCCAATTTTGTTCTTGTTGCTCAAGATGATTTGGGGTATTCTGGAGCCCCTTGTATTTCTGTACCAATTTTTATGGTCAACTTCTTTGATTTCTGCAGAAAAGCTGGCTGATATTTTTATAGAGATTGTGCTTATTCTGTAGATGAATTTGGGGAAGGATTGCCATGTTAATAATATTAAGTTTTACCAAGACATGAACATAAATTTTTTTTTTACTTTATTAGGTTTTCTATAATTTCTTTCAACAGTGTTCTTCAGTTTTCAGGGTAATAGTTTTGCACTTCTTTTATTGTATTTATTCCTAAGTATTTTTATTCTTTTTGATGCTATCTATAAGTGGAATTGTTCTCTTAATTTCATTTTTGGATTGTTTGCTGCTAGTTATATAGAAATACAATTTCGTATATTGATCTTATGTCTTAAAATCTTCCTGAACTCATTAGTTCAAATAAGTTATGTGTTCCTTAGGATTTTCTATAAACAAGATTATATCATCTGCAAATAGAGATACTTTTACTTTTCTAATATAAATGCCCTTTATTTCTTTTTCTTGTCTAATTGCCCTGTTTAGAGCCTCCAATATATTGTTTTATAGAAGTAGTAACAGCCAATATCCTTGTCTTGTTCTTGATCTTAGCAGGGGGAAAGCATTGTCTTTCACCATTCAGCATGATGTTAGCTATGGGGTTTTTGTGGATGCCCTTTATCTGGTTAAAGAAGTTCTCTTCTATTCCTAATTTGTTTGAGTGTTGTATTTTGCCAGATGCTTTTTCTGTGAGATGATTGTCTAATTTTAAAGTTCTTTTAATATGCTTTATTATGTTGATTGATTTTTGTATGTTGAACCAACCTCGCATTCCTGGCAAGGTATTCCTAGTCATGGTATATATAATCCTTTTAATACATTACTGGATTCAGTCTGCTAGTATTTTGTTGAGGATTTTTGCATCTGTATTCATAAGGAATATTGGTCTGTAGTTTTCTTGTGATGTCCTTGTCTGATTTTGGTATCAGGGTAATACTGGCCTTATAGAATGAGTCGGAATGTATTTACTCCTCTTCTGTTTAGAATAATTTATTAGGAACTGGTGTTAATTCTTTAAACAGTTGATAGAATTCACCAGTGAAGCTGTCTGGCGTAGGCTTTTTAAAAAGAACCAACTTTTAGTCTTGTTGATTCTATTGTTTTTATTGTTTAGTCTTTATTTTCTCTCTAATCTTTATTATTTCCCTTCTACTGCTTGCTTTGGATTTAGTTTGCTCTTTTTTTTTTCTACTTTGTTAACGTGGAATATTAGATTATTAAAGATCTTTTTTTTTTGTGGCTGGTTGATGAAATTTCTTAATATAGATCTTTACAGCTATAAAATTCCCTCTAAGCACTGCTATAGCAGCATAAGTTTTAATATGTTATGCTTTTGTTTTCATTCATCTTATTTTCTTATTTTCCTTGTAANAGATCTTTACAGCTATAAAATTCCCTCTAAGCACTGCTATAGCAGCATAAGTTTTAATATGTCATGCTTTTGTTTTCATTCATCTTATTTTCTTATTTTCCTTGTAATTTTTTTTTCTTTGATCCGTTAGTTATTTAGGATTGTGTTGATTTCCACATATTTATGAATTTCCCAAATTTTCTTCTGTTTATTTCTAACTTCATTCCAGAGAAAATACTCTATAATTTCAATACTTTTAAATTTATTAAGGCTTGTTTTATGGCCTAGCATGGTCTTTCTTGAAGAATGTCTCATGTATATTTGAGAAGAATGTATAATCTGCTTTTGTTAAGTGTTTTATAATTTCTGTTAGATCTAGTTGGTTTATAGTGCTATTCACATCTTTAATTTCCTTATCAGTCTTCAGCCTGGCTTTTATGTCTATTATTGAAAGTGGGTACCCCCTCGAAGTCTCCACTGTTATTGTTGAGTTGTTAACTTCTTCCTTCATTTCTGTCAGTTTTTGTTTCATGTATTTTGGAGCTCTGTTGTAACATGTTTATAATTGTTTTATCTTCCTCTTTTTTATCATAAAATATCTTTTGTTTCTAGTAACAATTTTTAATCTTAAAAAGTTATTTTGTCTGATATAGTGTAACCACTTCAGCTCTCTTTTGGTTGCTGTTTGCAGGGTATATATCTTTTTCTGTCCTTTTACCTTCAGCATATTTGTGTCTTTGAGTCCAAAGTGTGTCTTGTAGAAAAAGCATGTGGTTGGGTTGTGCCCTGTCTGTCT